ACAATTGCAGTCTAAAGTCATGGCGCCGTAGAGCCAAAACCCTGTAGAGAAGTCTCAGTTGAGGAAGATCTGCTATGTGCAGGAAGAGATCACGGTCTTCGTAGAGAAGGGGGCAGGACACGGCCAAACTGTCAGCTTTGCGGGGAAGGCCCGAACATTTGCAGCAGCATACCAACCAGAAACCAACGCAAGAAGTAGAAAAGGGGTGCTTGAGAGCCATACCTATGTGATGAATGGTTCTAATGAGCGCAGTAATTCGCATGCACTAGAGGAGCAGCTGTAATAGCCTCGCTCAAGCGAGAGCAATGGGGGGTCCATTTCACTCGTCAAAAAATTAGAATTCCCCAAAAGGTGCCAAGCAAAGGCTAGAGTCCTTTGAAGTGGGACTTGATGTGTGATTCCATGTAAATCCAAACCCAACAGTACCCCTCGCAATCCGGTTGCATCACATAAGGTATATGTGTAGTTCCAAAGTTGGGTTCCACTTGCGCACTGACATGCCAGGTGCCGTAATAACCGTTGCTACCCAAAACGGGTCCATCATTTTGAGCTCATACGTGTACTGCCTGTGTGCCCGGTGAGGCTGATGAGCAGCCAGGGTTTGAAGCTGGGGATTTGATTGTGGTCTTCCATGAGCTTCTTGCCTCTTGTTGGTAGGGAATGAAGGGCTGGGTCACTTGGGGAGTTGTAGGAACGTTTAGACCCTGAACCCTAATCTCTAAGCCCTGAATGGATCTTTCCAGTCTACACAAGCAAAAAGAAAGGCTTCAGCACTCGACTTTCAGACGTCGCGGCGCTGATCTCTTCATGCAAGTGGACATCAGTCTTGCGGAGGACTCTTGGTGGTTCATAGTGACGGCACTTGATATTCGCCTTCTCCCAAACTAGCACGGAATCACAGCATGGAATGCGCTACACATCCCTCTTGTCAAAAGGTGCATGTATCTGCTGTTGTGTGTGGACGGGGTAGTAAGACGCAGATTTAAATCGCGTTGCTAGGCTCTGACCGGCTTCAAGCGGAGTGTTCGGCACCTGGACGGACGCCGCTTGCTGGTGAAGGGCAACCCGATTCAGGAGCTGGAAGGGCCTGTCTGCGTCAAGGCCGGATGTGAGGGAGGGCTTTCTCATGCGTTTTGGTGTCTGTAGGAAAGGTTCCTCAAGAATATTGGTGAGAGGTTCCTCAGGACTGTTGATGAGTACATTCATTGGTGGTCCGGTTGGGCGAGACGATGAACATCATGATGCAGCAGTGTGTTTGAAAGCCAGTCCAGAAGTGTTTTGAACTAAGAGGCATATGTGTTTGCAAACGTAGGACTGACGACATTTCCTAAACCCAAAACCCAAAACCCTGTTCAGGGCATGTCTGCTTCCAAGATGCTTCCAGAGGGAGAAGGATTATTACAACTTTTGTTCTTATTACGAGTATGATTACTATTTCTATCATTACTACTAGTACAGCAATTAGTACAAATATTATTACTATACCTGCTTTAGAGGGAGAATTTCAAGCCCTGCGCCGGATCTGAGGCAGTGAAGGGCCAAGGCATGCCTCTAAAGGGCAGGCCCCTCGGCTGCTTTTGAGGAACTTAAGTTGAGTTACTGGAATAAGGGAACCCTTTGAATTCAATTACCATAATATGGGTCTAGGATGATACCTATTAACATATACCCATATTATGGTAATTTAGTTTAAGTTCCTTAACTAACAGCAACGCAGGCCATTTCTGTGTGGAAATCTCTTCCTGGAGCTTAACGTTTGCTTTCCACGGAAGCTGGATGCTGCGGCTGCTTCTCTACTTGATGTACTGCTACCGCCCGCAGCTCCGGTGCAAGGAAAAGGAGATGGCCAAGCGACTTGATGGCATCCATCTTGAAACGTCGCCTTTCAAGTCTGACAGATTTGCATGAACATGTAGTAATCCGAGGTCTACAGCTTTGAGAATTTGGACCCCTCGTCTCCGGATTAATTTGCTGGCTAAGCTGAGCAAGTCACAAGTTCGGGAGGTCCAGCATGGTCCTGCCCCTTGCAGCTAGAACAGCTCTTTGCATACAGTGACGCCAGGCCGAGCACAGCATGGCAAAGATCTGTTCAAGCCAAGCCTCCAGTACGCTGCTTGCACGATCAAGGTTCCGTGCCCAGTGCTCAGAATCGAATGTGGTTGGCAACACGGCTCTCTTGTTCCACATTGCCTTGTACTCCAAGTTCTTTTGCTTGCATCGAGCAGTTCGTAGTGGCTCTTCGCCACCGCTTCGCAAGTTGTGCCCCAGCTGAGCTGAGCTGCAGCTACGTGAAGCTGAGATGGTCTGCAATTGCTTCAGCAATTCCTGCATCAGACTGCAATGTCAAGAAGAGCTGAGATTGATTCGTGGTACTAGCAGGACCTACACGAGTAACCGAATGCATATCCATGCTGAGATGGAGAAGGATTGCCAGTGCAAAATGCTTTCCACATGTTTTATTTCTTCGGCTGAGCTGGGCTGTGGTTTAGTGACTCGTGTTCCGGAGTCATGTTGATCCTGTAAGGGAACGCCTCAGGCCTTCTGCATCCGTTTAACCAGACCATTCTCCGAAGGACATGCAATGACATTTGATGCTCCTTTTTCCGGTCCCGTCCCCAATACGACCCGCATTACTTCCTAAGCTTTGTTTACAGTAGCGTTGTTTGCGTACAGCTTGAGCTGATGGTCCCTAGTTGCTTGATCGGACCGAGTGAGCTACCAGCGGTATTATTTTCGTGAGTGGAATATTGGGGGCTGACGTAGGGTTCCTAATGCCGCTCAATACGGTCCCCACTTTGTCTTCTAAGTGGTTGGCATGTGTACTTCGCATATAAGGTTCTTAGCAGTAGCCTTGACAACACAAAAGTTGTTTGGTTGCGCAACAAAGTCAGGGAGCACCTGAAAGCCTCAGACACTGACTCCAAACTCTTAACTCTGAAGCTCCAACCCTAGAAAAGGCTTCACGCCACTCACACCAAACGGGAATTTTGGAGGCATAGGACAAAGCATCACAGGTGGGCAATTGGCTTAAGTAATCAAGGTGTACTCGTACCTCAGGATTAGTCGGTATATTTCTAGCATGCTACATTGTGTTGTCAATGAATGGGTCCCTTTTGGCGGCTTGTGCAGGCAAGGCCACAAAATATGGAACATGGGAGGAGGCTGACGGCCAAGAAGTCGCCATCTTTCCCCAAAAGAACCCAATCCCGCTTGGAGGGCCCGTACCCGAGAGACGTAGAGATCAGCGCCGCTATCATTTGCGATCGATTCGATTGATGATCTGCTTATTCTCTGAACCCTAGAGGGGTCATTGCTCAAGCATGGAAACATCATCATGCGAACAAGACTAGAGTACACCAGAGCAAGCCCTGAGCCCAAAGCCCTAAATGCCAGACCTGCAACCCCAGGGATGGCTTTGACTGAACCTGGTATTGCAAACGATGCCTTCAACAGACAGTTAAGGAAGAATCTTCAGCCTTGTGAGGGTGAAGCATATATAGATATATGCACGTAGAGTTTAGGTTGTTCTCCTACACATGCCCTAATCCATGTATAAGAGAGTGTCTGGGCTAGCAGCTTCAATTTCCATGAGCCGGTCTATGCCGTCTATACCAGTGCCTCTGGATGTGCTGTGCAACTGCATCTGGGTTGTGCTTTGGAACGTTTTTTTCTTTATATCTTTGGCCCTGGCTCCCTACACGTGGCCACATAGAGTCTGTAGAGGGTGTTACGGATATTTCAGGACCCTGGACCTGAAGCTTTGAACCCTACAGCCCAAAACTTCAAGCAGGGAGGAAAACGATACATAAACAAGCCTAAGCCCTAAACCCTAAGCCCTTAACTCTAGACCTTAAACCCTGAACCCTACACTCCAGACCTTAAACCCTAAACTTTAGACCTTCAACCCTGCAAGCACCCCTGAGTGTGTTTCTCTTCCTGCCCTTGCCCTGGGATGACACAGATGTGTCTTTGAACCAACCAGCCAACCAACCTAAACTTAAGACCTTAAACCCTAAACCATCAACCTCTAGGCGGAAACGTGGTACCCAGGTCTGGCCTTCTGCTCCCTCAAAGAGCGCCTCGACTGCGCGGTGGCCGCCCGCCGCTGGCAAGAGGTGGACAGGTTTTAGAGTCTAGAGTTTAGGGTTTAGGGATGAGGGTTTAGGGATTAGGGTTTAGGGATTGGGCGGTTTAGGGATTGGGGTTTAAGTTTATGGATTAGGGTTCAGGGTTTGGGATGTTTTAGACTTTTGACTTCTAGGATTGGGAGTTCAGGGCCTAACTTTGGGTCTAGGGCTAAGGGGTTAGGATTGAGGTCCAGGGTTTGAGGTCTTGAGTTCAGAGTTGGGTTTAGGGTTTTGGGTTTAATTAGGGGTGATTATGAGACTGATGGGTTTCTGCCTCAGGCTTTTAGGGTTTAAAGTTTAGGGTGCAGACGTTTAAGGTAGAAAGTAGTAGTGAGACTGGCAACAGGGTTTTGTGCGAGTTCGAAGGTTCTAAGCAAGCTCGTTGCGTCCAAGACCTGCATAGGAAGGTGGCATGTGCAAGATAAGGGCCAAGACCTTCAAGCAGAGTTTGAGGAAACAGGACCCTACTAGGACGTGGGATTTACTTTAGGATCCGTTTACTCGTCTAGTGGAAGCCCCCCAAACTTGAACCCATACGAGCATGTTGGTGCTTTTTCTTCACTGCGCCTAACCTGCAGCAGGCCGTGTTGGAGCCATGCTTGTGGGGAAGCTGGCTTCTGATTGGAAGTGCTGTCTGTGGTTTTCCATTTTCACCTGGGCAGTCTAAACCTTAAACCCTAAACCTGTTTGCTTTTGGAATTTGATTTTCTGTAGGCAACGATCTGTCAGATTTCTGAAGCTCTCCTCTATGGGGCTTATGGGGCAGTGGGGAGTGGATTCTGTACATCAGGGTCTCCCCCCTCATTGCGGCTAAAGCACCGGTAAGTCCAGATTGAGCTTTAAACCCCTAAGCCCTAAACCTAAACCCTTCAGGAAGCCTGATCCCAGAGCCGGACGATTTGCCCTTCCTCAACGTGCTTCTGGACAGGTTTGGGGCCAGTGTACGCTATCTGAAGATAGCAGGGCATGGGCCAAACCGCCTAGGTTCCAATGCTTTGGCTTTGCAGTTGGCGAAATGCAAGAACCTAGAGAAGCTGTCTCTCAGTGGGTTTCGTGGCCGGGATCTTGAGAATTTCTGTCAGTCCAGATGCCACATGCCCACGCTACGATTCTTGACTATCGAGTGTGACCCCTATTTCAACCTCGGAAGCTTTTCTCACAACACGGGAGCTCACATGGCGTCTCTTCCCATATCGTGGTTGACCTGCTTTCCTAACTTGGAGGGCCTGGTCTGTGATTATCTGAAAGTTGAGGCCTCTGACATCTCAGAGGATGCAGAAGCTTGTGATGCGGATAGCACGGATTCGGAGGGGGAGGTAGTATTCCTGGACTCCACGGCCAATCCTTTAGATGTTACTTCCCGTCTTTCAGAGCCCGAGCAGCTAGAGCAGCCAGAGCAGGCGGAGACTTCGGAGCGCAGTGGACCTTTGCCCAGAGAGCCCAGGGAGCCAAGGGAGGGGGAGGGTCAAGAGCCCTCAGTCAGCAGCGAGTCGCGTGAGCGGGAGTCTCGTGGTAGGCACGCAGTGCCAGCTCTGGAGCTGCCCCTTGCTGCCCTGTCCCCACGCCGGGAATCTAGGGAGTTGAAAAAGGAGAGCCGGGAAGGCTCCGAGGCAGAGCAGCCGCAGCTGAAGAAGCTGAAGGATCTGAGTTTTGTTGCAGTGGTGAGGGGCAGTGGCTCCACTTGGCATTCCTCACACTGTCGATGTGATCTCTCGGTTCTGGCACGCCTTGCGCCCGGTCTGCGGCGTCTCTTCGTGCGCAGTCCGAATATTGCCCTTGGCCGGATGAGCCGGCGGCCGGGGCAACGGATTGAAGGCTTGATCAGGGTCAGCCGTCACTTCTGTAGCACTGGCCTTCGGGATCTCCTGGCAGTGGGGTACCTGCTTCCATCCCTCCGGACCTTGAGGGTTGAGGTTGCAAAGGATGATACCGGGCACTCTTGGGATTCCTCCGGGTCACTGTTGACCGTCCCCGCAGTGCCTTCCAGACAACTGCACACATCTCACCTAGCTTTGCTGCTCGGGGTGCACGATCGGCCCTTTTTGCTCTCTGTTGCTTGGCAGGAATGTGTATTTTTGAAATCCCCCCTTAGTTGAAACTGGGTTATACTCAAGAAGAAATCTGGACACCTTAGCTGCAACCCAGGTTGGAGCTTCAGATGTCTTGGCTGCGAAGCTTCGCCGAACTAGCAGTGCCGCAGCCAGTCCGGCGAGTGTCTCTGCATTTCATAGTTTTGCAGTTTCTGAGCAGCACTTGCCTCTGCTGCAGTGCCTGCAGAAGTTTCAAGAGCAGAAGGACCAGAAGGAGCAAACAGACCTTCAGATGCAGGAATTCGAAGTAGATATAGTTGAGGCAGCCTAAACCCGAGGCCAGTAGGAAATGATCTTCCTGAAGTATTGCAGCCCTAAGCCCTAACCCGCATAGCTGGTCTCAAATCATTTGAACTTTAAAGGTGAGACTTTGCTCTCCCCGTTCGAAGCAATGGGAAACAGCGCGCCCGCCTGTACATATGGGTGTTTCTAAACGTGGGGGTCCCCTCCATATCAGAATGCAGACACCAAGACAATGTACTCCTTATTCCAGGGGACCCTCGCAAAAGGACCCGAACCCACATGTTAAGATTCCGTGGAAGCTTTTTCTTGGGGGTTTTGCTGTTAGTAGCTCCAGGAAGGTGCAAGTAGTTCTGGACCATGTTGAAGCATTGATAACACCCCCATGATACAGATCCAGCTTCAAAGAATCATGCCGCTGCACTAGCATGCGGCTCACCACCGCAGCTTGCATTCGTAAAAAGACGTGTTTCGTGTGCCTGGAGGGTTCAGTGAATGTAGCTGCGTACCAGCCAGCACCTGTGCATGGATGTGATCCTGAGCTTGTCACCGGGAAGGCTGGAGAAACAGCGCAAGAAGTGAAGTGAGAAGAAGTGAGAAGAAGTGAGGTCTCCGCACCGTTCCCGAGTTCCCGCGGACCCGTGCGCCAAGCATTCATGCCTTGTCTCCTTGACTTGTCTGGCCTGAATCTGGGTGCCTGTACAGCTGCCCCTCTTTGAATTAGCATCTTTGCTCTGTGGCCTTAGCAGCTTTGCTGCAGAAGGAGAGCCGCGTTAAGGCTCGGCTCTCTCTCGACATCAGGGGTTGGCCGGCAATGGAGCAAGTAAGGGATGCTTCGGGCATACTGGTTTGATCATGTTCAAAAGAGGTGGCTGCAGGACTGGAGTGCAGTGGACAGGCATAGGCATGTGCCAACTTGAAATTCCCGCATGCAATGTGAGGGGTGTCCTTGCGGCTTCGAGGTATTAGTTTAGAGGCACCATGAATCCATCATGAGCGGGCGGGAAGTTTCCCAGCAAATTTAGCTGGGCCTGTGCGGGACCCTGCCTCAGAGTGCGCTGAATGTCAAGGTCCAGTTTGTCAAGGTGCAAGATGGTAGGTTGTCAAAATTGTGGTCTTTTTTTTGGTCCCCAGTGTAACACCTCGTATTTAGTGGCACCTAGACAGGGAGCCCGTTTTTGGCAATTAACCATATATGATGGTTTGCTCTCTGGGAACCCCTACATTTGGAGTCGCCTTAGTTGTAGCTCCGATGGTCAATCCACATTAACCTTTTCATGCTAATGTTAAATGGGGTTCCCAAAGTTGGGATACCCTTTGCGGGTTTCTATAAGAAGGACAAAACTACATTGGGGTCTATATTGGGGTACCCTAATTTGGGGAGACTACCACATACCTCCCCCCAACCCCTAGTATTAAATCTGGCACCTTGAATGCTTGTATTACGTGTAAGAGTAACAGCACGCGTCACGGTAATACACGGCAATTTTATGACGCAGCAGTACGAATTGTTGCTGCAGTGCCGTTCTTTATCCTTCCATGCACAACTCCTAAAACCTAAAAACCTAAACCCTAGATACACCTTAAGCCCTGATTCCGTAGACCCCCAGACCGCAAGTCCTGAAACCATAACCTGCTGAGCTCTAGGGTTCACGTTTTTCGTTGGTCCTAGTCCTGGGCCTTGAATTGGGTTGGGCCTTGAATGAGTGTAAACTGCCTCGACGGAGATTAAGTTCAACCTGGACAAATAATCCTAAACCTTCAGACTCTAAAGCCCCTAATCCACAAATCCCCAAAACCCTGAAACCTCCCAAGCTCCCACCAAAGAACCGCAAACTCTGAGCTCTCAGAGGCAATGGGCTGCCATTTAGCAAAGCCTTGGGCTGCAGTCAGCTGCACACATCCGCCTTGCCCTGAGCAGAAACAGGGTTGTAGAGTTGCCAGCTCCGACATCAAGAACTGTCAAGGGTTCCTGGGTTTTACCCCTAAGGTCGTATCCCTAAAAGGTTTCCCCGAGATGGCCCTAGTGTAGCGCTTGTATGCGCCAATGTAGTCTGCTAGGGTTCTAGGGTCCCTTTAGAGGATCCCAAAACCCAGGGGTACAAGCCTAAGGTACCAGCCTCACAACCTTGAAGCAGTGGCAGGAACACGTATAGCATCTTTCAGAATGCTACAAATCGGGCAGCATCTCTCATTAGGATGCCTGTCTTGCATCCTCGCTGTGAGGCTTGTGGAGAAAAGCCTGGATCATGATGAGGAGCTTCTGGGCCTTGCGCACTCTTTAGGACAAGTGTGTATGCAATCTCTCTGCCTTCTTTCAAAACCCTGCACTCTTTGATAGGGAGGTCTCTTGCCCAATCCGTCTACCACCCCGACATAAAAATAAGCCCTATACCTATACCCCTAATTCCTATATTCTATTCCCGAATCCCAACAACCTGAACCCCAACGCATAAGCCCCGAAACCATGAGGGATTTGAGCATCTAGGAAAAGACCCGATAGAGAAAAAAGCCAGCAGCCAAAACTCAAAACCCTCTACCCTAAACCCTAAACCCTTAACCTCCTCTAAACTCAAAACCCTTTGCCCTAAACCCCAAACCCTTAACCCCCCCCTAAACTCAAAACCCAAAACCCTAAACCCTTTTTTTAAGCGCCTTGGGCGCTCTCTCTCCCAACCCTTTGGCGACGGCAAATCTGTCTAGTAGCGCCTAGCACTGAGGACCACCACGTCCTGTCTGCGGCCACTTCTAATAATTTACGTTTGATGTCTCTGTCGCTCCCACCCCCCCGAAAGAAATGGTCGTTAAAAATGGTCATCGCCACGGCAAGCAGTTGCTCCGCCCATTTACATCGCCTGTTTCCCGGCCTGTAGGGCCCACCCCAGATACGCGGCTGCAAAAATTCTCGCTGGATGGTCCTGGGGCCTTCTTAAGATGTGTCCTAAAAGCTTCATTTGATGCAGTCGCACCTCATCACTGAGCAAGGTCTCATCTAGCATTTCCCTTATACTTTCGTTGGTTGTCCCTGCTACGCCCATCTGCATGGCACCCCACGTGGTAGGAATGTTAGCAATAGAACGCAAACAGCGGTAATGGAATGAATCAATTTGTTTCATCTGGGTCTCTGTCAGCCACAGCGTGGAAAGATTGTATAGGAGCTTGGATACCACGCAGGAACGGTAGATTTGCAAGCCGGCATGCCTCCACACCCTCTTTAGCTTGTGGAAAACCGCTCTAGCTTCTCCAATGCGTCGCCGAACCTCGGGTCCTGCTTACCATGTTTGTCAATAAGGCCTCCCAAGTAAACAATAGAGGAAACTTTGGGAACCGGGTCGCCGTTGCTAAATACAACTGAGGCATCCGAGTTATACAGAACTAGTATAGTTTTGTCCAAATTAAGATGTAGATTTTTCTGCTTCCTGCTGGACCAGCAATAACAGATCTTGCATCTGTTCTTGGGTTCTTGCTACAAGTACCGTGTCATCTGCAAACTCAATATCGAAGAACGGGAGCTGAGGTGTGGTGGCAAGCGGATGTTTACTTTTGTACTGTGACTGCACGTCATGGAACAAGACAGTTTGCAGGAGTATGAACAACAACTGACTGAGTGTACAACCCTAAACCCTTAAACCCTTAACCTCCTCTAATCTCAAAACCTTAAACCCTAAACCCTAAACCCTTAACTTCCTCTAAACTCAAAACCCTTTACCCTAAACCCTTAACCCCCTCTAAACTCAAAACCCTTTACCCTAAACCCTAAACCCTTCACCCCCTCTAAACTCAAAACCCTTTACCCTAAACCCTTAACCCCCTCTGAACTCAAAACCCTTTACCCTAAACCCTAAACCCTTAACCCCCTCTAAACTCCAAACCCTTTACCCTAAACTATTAACCCTCTCTAAACTCAAAACCCTTTACCCTAAACCCTAAGCCCTTAACCCCCCCCCTAAACTCAAAACCCTTTACCCTAAACCCTCAACCCTTAACCTCCTCTAAACTCAAAACCCTCTACCCTAAACCCTAAACTCCCTCTAAACTCAAAACCTTAAACCCTAAACCCTAAACCTTTAAACCCTCTCTAAACTCAGAACCCTAAACCCTAAACCCCAAGCCCTAAGCCCTAGATGCTATCAGGAGTCCGAGGAGCGATGGTGTCTGCCTCGGAAAGATGCACAAGGGTGGGATCCCAAACCAGTTGTTGTACCTTGATTCCCCAACCGGGTTTTTGGGAGATATATAGGGTTTTCTAGGAATAGAAAGAGAATGAAAACTACTGTTTAGGGTTAAGGGTTTAGGGTTTAAGGTTTAGGATTAAGGTTTACGGTTCGCGGTTGAGGGTGAAGGGTTCAGAGTTTGGCGAGTTTGGGGATTTTGGAAGGTGTGTAGTGGCGTGGAGGGTTTAGGGTCGAAGTTTTAATGTAGAAGACCTTGGGGTCCAGAGCAGAGGGTAGGGATTCAGAGTGCAAGGTAGGAGCTGATCCACCTTGGTTACTCCGATGTCCCTGATACATAGATGAAATGCAGAGTTAGTACCAGTACCCTAAACCCTAAACCCTAAACCCTAATCCCTAAACCCTAAACCCTAAACCCTAAACCGGATAGGGATTATTACTGCCCTCCCTTCACCACTGACATGGAACCTGAGAAGAGGCCTCTTATAGACGAGAGTCCTTGCTGAGGTGCTGGTGCCTCTTCCCCTATCACCGGCACATGCGAGACATGGAGGCTCGAAAAAATTTCCCTGAAAAAGGTTTCCTAGATGAACTGTAGTCTAAACTCATTTAAGGAGGCTATATAGGGGATCATTACAGGGCGGATACTAGGAGTTTAGACAATGGCTCAAATAGGGGGGTGGTTTTGTTTGAGCTGTGTCTTTGGGAAGGTTTTGGCTGGTTCAAGGTTTTTCTCCAGAAAAATCACAACAGATATTGTGAGGACAGTGCGGAAAATTACCATCCAAAACCTTACGCCCCAACCTCCAAAACACCTTGTTCAACATCCTGAATCCAAACCCTTCATACCCAAAATCCT